TTTTTTTTTTTTGGTTTGAAATCCTACACTCTACAGTACCACATGTACAGTCAAAAGTTCTCTCAAATATTCCAAAACAAAAAGAAAAAACCACAAATACTTAACGAAAACAAAATTCAACAACTAACAGAACACAACCAGACCTTTACATCCATCAACAACAAATACACAGCAAAAACCTCATCCAATCCTGCAAAATAACAACAGGAAGTCTTCTGTTTCCGAAAGTTTCAATTAAAACCCATTATAAGAAAGCTCTCAAGAAAGTTTTACGTCATTAGTTCAAGAAAAAAAGAAAAGAAAAAAGGAATTTCCAAGAACTTCCTTGCTCATAATGACAATTGAATCTCGTATAAAGCTATTCTACTTTAGTAAAAGGAAGATTAAGTCAAAATCAGAGTATGGGTACGAGGAAAAAATAATGACAAAAATCTTCCTTGAACCACTATATTATCGCATAAAAAATACGTATTTTCATATTACAAGATCTCGCATCTAAATTAAAAAACCATTTTCAAAAATAAAATTGCATATTCTGCAAAGTCACTTGCGACTTCTTTCAGTGCCAGTAATCGCAACAACAAATAATTAGACAAAAAAATGATAACTAAGTAACAGATCAAAACAAAGCCAGAGACTTCATCTAATCGATTAAAGCACATAAGACAGACCCAAACGTCAACGAGAAATACTTGATAACAAACATCATTTCTTGAAAAAATAATATAAATCTAAAAGCTCCTTTACAACTACTGAGCACCACTGTATGAAATCTAATCCAAATTTGTACAACTAATGCCAGACTATTTTGCCGATATGTTTTTAAAAAATGCAAGACAAACTGCTGCCTTGAGCTTCTCATAAAAGACAGTAAAATATAAGTAAACAATAAACGATCTCTTATTAACGTCTATAAGGTCTTTTATAATGCCATAAACTTTTTGGAAACGCAAATGAAGACAATAAATGAAAATAGAAAAATTACCACATGAAGATCAAATACGACAAGACCCTTTATACATTTCATAACACTAATAATAAATAAGGAACTTTTACTACAAAAACCATTATAAACAACAATTTCCTCACGGCCAGATAGATCACAGCTAGGCAGTGATTTAACGTCCAGTAAGTGTGCAAAAAAAAAAAAAAAATTAAAAGCCTAAAGAGGCTATTAAAAGCAACCGTTCCTGAGTGGAGATTTGACGAGCAATACTTGGTAATTATGAACTTTAGATTACACTTTCTGATACCTTTCTAACAAGGAATGAACTTCCCGTAGCGATTCTACCTCTGCATCATTTTCCGGTCGAAGGTCTTTTGCCATTTGCAGGTACTTCAAAGCGGTGTTATCTTCCTTTTTTGCTGCATAGCATTTAGCAAGGAAAAGAAGGTTATCTATCCACATTCCAGGCTTTAAACGTTCAACCTTCAAAAAAGCTTCTTTTCAGAAAAATGTACCATATATGCACTGTTCAACATGTGCACAAAAGCAGCTATATTAAGAATAAAGTAATAAATATTGATAATCAGCTACGCAAGAAAAACTCATTAAGGCCAAAATCTAATTTCAATTAAAATAAAAGTAACAGAATTCTAACCATTAAATTTCAGCATATCAGAAGTGTAAAAATGTTTTGTAGCAAAGAAACAAGAATGATTCACAAAGTTGCCTCGTTCATAAAAGTCCAAAAAAAAGTAATATTAAAGTAGAGTGAAACGCGTTCCTTGAATGTACATAAGGAATAATCTGTAGGAGGCTAAGTGAGTTGCAATTGCAATGATATGCTTTTTATATAAAAGAAAATTGAAACAAACGAGTGAACTTTTCAACACACTTGTAAAAAACAGCTCAAAGCACCTGTTTCCGCACTGACCTCTTAAAAAACAGAATAAAAACTACTTCATCTATAGACCACAATCAACTAGAATAAAATGTACCGCAAGCAAATCACCAATGGCCTCCTCCACAGTACTCTGTGGAACAGCACCAAAAAGCGCAGATGCTGCTTTCTTTTCCAACCAAGATAAAGTTGCGATCGTGTAGGAGTATCGGCCTCGCATATGAAGGAGACTATATTCATACGGCTCCATTGAAATTGCTTTATCCAAGTACTCCTTTAATAAGTTTCCATTAACCAAGAGAACTACGAATAACCGACTTCAAAGACAGAAACATACTAAGTACTAATTGAAAAATTTTACAGAAGAACAAAAGAGTGGAAACATACTTTGAATTTTTTCCCAAGTTTTATTTTTTCTTTCATTCCGACAAAATCAGTTGAAAGCCCCGTCATTATTGCAGCCCAACGCAGTGGTTCAAAAGAATTTTTGTTTATCTCACACGCTTTCAAAGAATAATCACGACCCAAAAAATAAATCAAATTAAAAACACGAGAAGACATTTCATTCATTCAACAGTTGAACGGAATAAACCTTCAAGAATAAGCCTTTTTCTTGTCGCATCGTTTTTTTCAAATGTACTGGCATAAATTTTACAGGCTTTTGCCAACCGCCAAAGCAGGTCTGAGTTTGATCCAGCAACAATGTCATTGTCGTACACCTACAATAACAATTCTATAACATCGGACCAACACAATTCCCAGCGTCTGACTGTTAAAAACAGGCCGGCCATTTACACATTATTTTTTTTTAACTGGAAAGCATTTTAGAAGTAATAACAAATTAACAGAAAAAAAGAAACTAAAAGCTTTCAAATATTAGAAAATTTGTTTCGAATTTATCTACGCAAATAGACAAGTTATGCCTCTTTCAGAATTTTGTACGCACAAGCTCCGTTATGTTCCTCCAGCAGTCTGTCAACTTCAGCAATCATCTAAATATACAAAAAAAGGGCAGTGCATCATACATCAAATATAGGTTTTCTTGCTACAATAAACTGTAGGTGAAAAATCGCAAAATACCAAACAATTGCAAGCATTAGTGTGAACATACAAAACCTATATTATTAAAATCAAGAAAAAAATCCATTCTAAGAAAGCATCAGTGACGCTGAACTAAAGAAAAAAGGCATTTTGTTTGGGAGTATGAAATTCGCCAGTAAGACCCAAACAGTGATTACAGACTTAA